ATTAGCTCAAAAGGGTGCTTCTACTAAATACTGAGCAAAGGGTCTGAATACTTATGACTATGTGATATTTCAGTTTTTCTTTTTTAATAAATTTGCACAAATGTCAAATTCTGTGTTTTTCTGTCAATATGGGGTGCTGTGTGTACATTGAGGAAAAAAATGAACTTAAACAATTTTAGCATATGGCTGCAATATAACAAAGAGTGAAAAATTTAAGGGGTCTGAATACTTTCCGTACCCACTGTATAAACAAGGCCACACACATAGAATGAAACAGGAAGGACAAGAGGTGAGAGAAAGTGGCTAATATGGGCAAAAACTAGGAAAGTAGGAATAAAGACCAAAGAACATACTTTGACACAAAAGAAAGTGTAAAAAATTGACTAATGGCTCATGTTTGGGGTGATGGGAAGGTAGTGTCCTTGAGGCAGCAACTTGAATTCTCAATTGGAAAATTTTGGGATGCAGAAACCACATTGAGCAAGATAAAAGAAATAGAGATAGACACACACACACACTTTATTTATACCACCCCCGCAGGGTAAGATTTCTGGCACCAAAACACACATCATGCTTGTTATTTTTGTCAGAGGTGCCACATAGCACTGAGAGGTTGGGTGACAGGGCTGAGGCATCACGGGGCCCAGGGACTTCCGTACACCCACCCAGTGCTTACATGACATTTCACACTTCAGCTACGTCTGCCAGAAAGGTGTGTGTATATGTGCACAGGAATTGGTTACTTGCTGAGAAAAATTATAAGCTGTGTAGCTGTTGTTCTTTATACATGTGAAATTCTGTGTGTTTCTTCACCTTGCACAGAGCAGACGGTGTCAGGGAGAACGCTGATACAGTCATATGAGGCAAGAAACCCAGAGCTGTAATCCCTCGTGATGCACAATCACTCTGTCTGTGCTGCACAATAACAACGGGTAATATAACTGCTCTTGAATCAACACTGTCATTGTTAATGTACTTCGAAGCATACTGATCACGGCCTCAAAAATCACTCTTTAGAGGACTGTCTTTAAGATGCCACATCCTTTTTATCATGTACAGTGGATAAAAGTCTACACACCCCTGTTAAAATGCCAGGTTTCTGTGATGTAAAAAAACGAGACCAAGATAAATAATTCCAGAACTTTAGCCACCTTTAATGTGACCTATAACTTGTACAACTCAATTGAAAACAAACTGAAATCTTTTTTTCAGTGGGAAGTAAAAATAAAAAAACTAAAATAATGTGGTTGCATTAGTGTGCACACCCTTAAACTAATATTTTGTTGAAGCACCTTTTGATTTTATTACAGCACTCAGTCTTTTTGGGTATGAGTTTATCAGCAATGCACATCTTGACTCTGCAATATTTGCCCACTCTTCTTTGCAAAAACGCTCCAAATCTGTCAGATTGCGAGGGCATCTCCTATGCACAGCCCTCTTCAGATCACCACACAGATGTTCAATCGAATTCAAGTCCAGGCTCTGGCTGGGCCATTCTAAGACTTTTATCTTGTTCTGGTTAAGCCATTCCTTTGTTGATTTGGATGTATGCTTGGGGTCATTGTCGTGCTGAAAGATGAAGTTCCTCTTCATCTTCAGCTTTCTAGCAGAAGCCTGAAGGTTTTGTGCCAATATTGACTGGTATGTGGAACTGTTCATAATTCCCTCCACCTTGACTAAGGCCCCAGTTCCAGCTGAAGAAAAACAACCCCAAAGCATGATGCTGCCACCACCATGCTTCACTGTGGGTATGGTGTTCTTTTGGTGATGTGCAGTGTTGTTTTTGCGCCAAACATACCTTTTGGAATTATGGCCAAAAAGTTCAACCTTGGTTTCATCAGACCATAACACCTTTTCCCACATGCCTTTGGGAGACTTCAAATGTGTGTTTGCAAAATGTAACCGGGCATGGATATTTTTCTTTGTAAGAAAAGGCTTCCGTCTTGCCACTCTACCCCATAGCCCAGACAAATGAAGAATACGGGAGATTGTCGTCACATGTACTACACAACCAGTACTTGCCAGGAATTCCTGCAGCTCCTTTAATGTTGCTGTAGGCCTCTTGGCAGCCTCCCTGACCAGTTTTCTCCTTGTCTTTTCATCAATTTTGGAGGGACGTCCAGCTCTTGGTAATGTCACTGTTGCACCATATTTTCTCCACTTGATGATGACTGACTTCACTGTGTTCCATGGTATATCTAATGCCTTGGAAATTCTTTTGTACCCTTCTCCTGACTGATACCTTTTAACAACTGCTTAATTCTGACAACAGTCACAGCCCCACAGTAAGAGGGTGTGCACACTAATGCAACCACATTATTTTAGTTTTTTATTTTTACTTCCCACTGAAAAACATATTTCAGTTTGTTTTCAGTTGAGTTGTACAAGTTATAGGTCACATTAAAGGTGGCTAAAGTTCTGGAATTATTTATCTTGGTCTCGTTTTTTTTACATCACAGAAACCTGGCATTTTAACAGGGGTGTGTAGACTTTTTATATCCACTGTAGTTCTTTAGGTATGTTGATGTGGCTGGTCACCAAATGATGTGTTGACGTTGGTGGACATTTGCTCATTTGCAGTGGCAACTAACATGGCTTGAACTGCCCTGGCATGCTGAGAGCTACAGGCATCAGGTAACCATAGACTTGACATTCACTATATCATAAATACTCCTTAATATGAGCCATCATTGATGGAACACAATGAAACACTTCAACAGAGAGAGGCAGGACCTTTATGTCAAAGCGCTGTCATATTTATTACCAAGAAAAAAATACACGAAAGGCATATCAGTCATTTGTCATAGTTGTTATTTAAACATCTTAAATACTGTATATTACATTGAAAATATGATACATTAAAACACACTGCTGTTGACAGCTAGCAGGTTGCTGCTAGGAGCACAAGTGCAACTTAATCCCTTCCCACTGGTGGCCAGTTTGATTTTGATTCGAGATGGCAACTGTGAATGTACCCTCATACTAGGGCTGCATGCTAAATCTCATTATACAGAAAACACATTAAAATTCAATACAAAAAAAGAGGAAATGGACAAAGGGGGGGCGCTGCAACAAAGCAACATGTTGGTATTTTGGTTAAGGTTGGGCAAAGAGAAGCAAAAAGCCAAAGCAACACTGGAGAATGTTGTGGATGTGTTTTACCTTGCGCACGGCATCAAGATAAAATTAAGCATTTTAAAGCATTAAACATTAAAACATATTAAACATAAAAGTTTTTACTATTTACACAGAGAGAGATGACATTATGTGGGAACCAGAGGAGGACTTTTCCCTAGGGAAGAATTGAGCATTATTCAAATGGGAACGTATCACATAATGACAGTCTCAGTCTGAAGAGAATAGGAAAAAAGAGGCCGGTGCTTCAGGGCAGGACTTGGGTTTCTGGTCATGGGACTTGGGGGATGAGTAATGAGGCTAGGGGGCTGGTACATTGGGAACGACGTGGTGGCAATCCTGGCAGTGGAGGTGTGGCTGGCCCATCTGGACGGAGGTCTCTGATTGGCTGGCCGTGCGGGACGAGAAAAGCTCCTCTTAGGTTTTACTGGGGACAACTCAGCTGGGTTTACCTGGACATTGCAAGACATGTCAGCATTTATGTGCTTCATTGGTTAGTTTTATATTAATGTATTTAGAGAAGGACCTCTAATGCTAAACATAATTGTGAATGGAGAAAATATCTACCTGCTGTGGCTCCTGTCTGTAGTCAGTGTGTCCTGTTTTGGGACTTGAGCTGTATTCATGTTGGATATCCAGCATGTCCAGCAGCTCAATGAGTCCTTCATCCCTCACTTGGCTACAGTCTGGCATCTCCTGTCCCACTAACCCACCCCTCTGGATCCTCTGAGCTCCAGATGATGCACTTGAGACCCTGTAGTCCATTTTGGGCTCCGCATGTTGGTGACCAGGCTTCCTTCCTCCAAATCTGTCTGTCACACTATTCGCCCTGGGTCTAACGTTTGGGCTCCCTGCCACCTGTGATCTCTGGGACTGCCGGGGACTGGAATGCGGCCCTTTACAACTGCTGTAGCCTCCTCTCTGATCCTTGTGATTCTGTCTAACAGAGTCTGATACTAATCCCCATTCTTGGCTAGGCTCTATCTCTGCTGTCAGCAAGTTGGAATCTACTTGGCGTTTTTGGATAGGCATGTGCACGGGCACCTTGCTGGCACCTGTAGTGGACCCTGCAGCTCTGCGCTGACAGGCAGGGGTGGGGCACTTGGGTTCTGGGGCTGGTCCCTGATGGGTCACCACCCCTGATTCAGTAAGCACTTTGCCCTCGTTTTCCTGCAGCATGGCTCCAAACTTCTTGAGAACAGAGGGGCTGCTGCACTTCTTTTCTCCCAGGATGCCTGAACTGAAGGACTTCCTGTCTGAAGTGGGAGGTTCAGCATTTGAAATTGGGAGCTGAGAGCGTGGTTGTAGAGCAAGAGCATCCCTGTGTCCAAGAGGAGGCTTGGCATCTGTGTTTTCTGTGTTGGTGGGGCAACTCTCTCTGCAGGGGGAGCTCTTCATGTGAGACACTCGGTTCTTCCTGTTTTCAGTCTCCTCAAAACAGCCCAGAACCTGCTCTTGACCAAGCCTAGTTTAACATAAAAAGGGAAAACAAAACAAATCAGAAACACACAAAACTAGCTTCACAATTTGTCATTCTATAAAATGTCCATGAATGTGGACGAGGTATGAAACACTCTTACCGTTCATTCCCAGATTTGCTTCTTATATCATCCTGGTATGCAGGGATGTCCTGGCTCACCTTGATTGTGTCACTGAAGTGCTAAGAATAATAGGAAAAATATACAGTATTATCAAAAGTCCATATAAACCTCACATACTTATTTAAAAGCTTTTAATTAGTATGAACATTTCAGGATCACTGGTGAGATTCCCTTTACTGTACCTTTCCAAATCTCAACCTTGAACATCATTCAATATACCACAGCTAAAACTATTGTCATCTACTGTACTTTAATGTTGCACTGCCCATGGTGTTACATTTGGACCAGGAAATGGTCTTGATCTTTTTCTCGACTGCTCTGTCAAGAGTTAACAAAGTGCAAGAGCTGACTGTGTAAGTAGACTCGAAGCTACCAGCTAACTCTAATGAATATGCTGCTGACTGAACCCTAGATTTGACTCATGTCGCATCCACCTAGTATCTGGTTTCATCAGATGTGCAAATGCCAACAGAATGAGGCCCAAGGCAGAGAAATAATCAGAATTGCTTTTCCTCTACTTACCACGTGGCGAGCTCTATTGTTCTTCCGGCTGACTTGTTTCCCATGCTCCAAATAATCCTGCAATAATTCTCCAATCTCAGAAACGCCGTTGGCATGGCAGTAACTGTGACCGTTCTGATAACTCACAGGGCAGCTGTACCCATTGGGTTTATAGTTACAGCCATGGCTGTAGCAATGTGGCACTGATATAGCTCCAGAATGAATCTTGTTGTGATGGCTAGGAGCAAAAAAACCATTGCCATTGTGTGGAAGACCACATTCCATTTGGCTGCCATTTTTCTGGTTGTCAGTAGTGATATCGTTCGCTCCTCTGCGGGCTTGAACGTCCTTGTACAACTGAAAAACAAAATGGAAAAAAACATTGTATTATACCTAAGTAGCTGTATTGCTACATGCACATATTGTACAAAACCACAGCTCAACAACGGGAACTATGTTTATATAAACAACATCTTATAATTATCACAAACATGCTGCACAACCTAACCTATATTTATGATAAGCACATGGTTACACACAGTGGTGGAATAAGTACTCAGATCCCTTACTTAAGTAAAAGTAGCAATAATGCAGTCTAAAAATGCTCTTACAATTAAAAGACCTGCATTCAAAATGTTACTGAAGTCAAAGTACAAAGTATTAGCATCAAAACATACTTAAAGTAGTAAAAGTACTCATTACTCAGAATGACCTATTTCACATTAATGTATATCATATTATTGAATTATAATTGCTGACATCACAATTAATGTCACAACTGGTAAACAGGGAGCTAATTTTAACCAGGTTACAGGTATATGCTTTTAATTTGAAGAACTTCACATACTGCTAGGTAGCTTGTGAATTTTCCACCAGAGACCAATAAGGTTTTAGGATTATACTGTAATTTTTGTATTAGTCTGGCTCTGAAAAATAACTAGTAATGAAAGTTATAAAATGAATGTAGTGGAGTAGAAAGTATGATATTCACCGCTAAAATGTAGTTAAGTCAAAGTATGAAGTGGCACAAAAGGAAAATACTCAAGTACAGATACTTCAAAATTAAACTTAAGTACAGTACTTGAGTAAATGTACTTTGTTACTTTCCAGCACTGTTTATACAAGTATTGGTTTCCCATTGCAACCTTTATTACTTCCCTTAGTATCCACTTTCAGACACCATATGTGTGTGCCTTTGTATTACTTACATCATAAGGACCGAAACCGGTTAACACACACACACTGTGGGGACTTGGACATCACTGAATTTTAGGGTGGCAACATGGTTTAAGGTTAGGTGTTAGGGTCAGGGTTAGGATTAGGCGAGTAGTGGTTATGGTTAAGGTGTTAGGGTAGGTCTACAGGAAATGCATGTAAGTCAATGTAAACTCCCCACAAGGAATGAAAACACAGCGCGCGCGTGTGTGTGTGTGTGTGTGTATGAGAGAGACTGAGAGAAATTGTGTGCATGCATGTGTGTGCGCTTGGCATGACTGTCAGCACATCACAGTGTAATTAGTTTGTTAACATTTGTCTCTAACATACTGTAGCTCCATTAAGGCCATGGTGTTGAGTCAGTTTGTGTGCTGCCAGGAGTTTATTATGGTGCACAAATACATGCGCACACACACACACACACACACACACGTGCAGCATATACACACTCATATTACGCTAATTAACACACACTCTAGGGACTACAGAAGCATGTCATAACCCAGAAACAAAACAATTAACATGTTCACACACCCCAGTTTCACATGTGAGACAAATAAATATTAGTAATTCTGTGTAGCCAAATGTCGTTATCTTTCTGGTTAAGACATGGTTAACGTCATTATACAGCTAATTAATGTGAATGTAGTTAACCATAAATACAAGCTACTGAATTTTAGCTCTATATTTTTACATCAGTCGATGTATTGTTGTATAGTAGAGCTCAATTAAAAGAGAGAGACCAACATGCTGAATGTTTTATGACACTGGCACTGATGTATCAGAGTCAAGCTTAAAACACTGGGTTGCTCCTCAAAACCCATTTTTATGTTATCAGTCAAATCCCCCCTTCACTGGCCTTAACACTGCATTGACCCTGTGTTTAATGTTCTGTACTGTACCGTGTTTGTGTGCCATCATTCCAATGTAACATATGATTTCAGAGATTTTAGAGCAAAGGGCAGCTCCAGATTGCACTTTCACGTTACCTCTTCGATTTTCCTCTGGATGTTCTGCAACTGGTCCTCCCACTCTTGCATCTCCAGGTCAAAGTTGTCCATCAGCTCTAGCCTCTCTTGTCCCCAGCCACGGCCACTGTGTTCCAGCCCACGCTCTAGATCAATGGCTGCCATGACGCAGGCCATTCAATAGCCAGAGGCCCTTTTCTCTTTCTCTTCTGTCAGAGGTCACTTGTAGGGTTGCCAGTAAGGTATGGAAAGATTATAGAAACACTATAAAGACAAATACACAGAGAAGGGATGAAAAGAGGTTTTAATAGCTGGCATACATACACTTACTGTCCTCATAAATGTCAGATATTTAGCATTCTTGTCTAAAATTCACAGGCATGTAAGCCTACCTATGCAGCATGTGTGGACACGGGTGTTACATGACAGCCATGTGTTTAGACTCTTGGTGACTTTGACCTCTGTACACCTCATGACATTGAAAGAAAATAAATGTCAAGTATGCACAGGGGGGTGGACATTTCTTGGAACCTGACCCAGCTATGCACACATGACATGACTTGGGTAAACCTGAAGTCATGGAGTTGCTCCAACAATGAGATGTTGATGACATGCTCACTTTTTAAATTTTAGATGTGTGGTCCCCAACCTTTTCTTGCACAGCTGCACAAGGTTTAAGGTGTCACTTCAAAACATAAATTCATTTTTTTCTTAGCTTTCCTTTTACCCGTCAACAACTTCAAGAAACTGACTTCTTTTTCAAATACAGGGTTCAATATCCAAATGTCTTCTTCAGGCCTTTGCTTTGCATTACTCTAGGTTACCCTTCGAACCCTGTAAATGTGTTCTGGTCAACATTCAGTGGCATGGTTAGGTCACGTCCCCAGTAGCAGTACTAATTACCTGACTGCTTTTGAGCTAATCAAGTCAGGTTTTGTTGTTGTTGTTGCCATCATTTGAATTAGACGTATCCTTGCCGAAAGTGCCCGAATGTACCACCCACTTTCCTGCCACCTGTGATGTAACAGTAGAGATATTAATAATCTTGTAACTATGCATAGTAGAGTGGCTGCCTGGTCTGCGTGCATGGAGCGGGGGCCAAGAAAGTGAATGTACTGTATGCAGGGCCAAAAGCAAAACATTACTTACATTACTATTGTGACGTCTCTATGCTATTAATTTGAAATATTTTTAAATTAAGCCACAAAACCACAGTAGTGGAAAGTAACTATGTGCATTTACTCAAGTAGTGTTTTGAGGTATCTGTACTTTTTCCTCCGCTACACAACTTTAGTAACTAGTTGCCTTTCAGAATCAAGTTTTAAAAAGCAAAATACAAAATAATCATAAGACCTGACCCCTGGTGATAAATTCAGAAGCTACACAGCGGTATTTCAATTATTTGCATATAAAGTAGTTAAAATGAGCTCCACCTGTACTGGCTTCAACATTAAACAGGATATACACCATAATGCATCAATAATAGTAATTCAATATTATATACAATGAGTACTTCTACTTTTGGTACTTTAAGAAGCCTATATTTTTATGCTAATACATTTGTACTTTCATTTAAGTAACATTCTGAATGCAGGACTTTTACTTAGAATACTTTTATACAACGGCATTGGAATTTTTACTTAAGTAAATAATACGAGTAGTTCTTTCACTACCGCAAAACAGTAAGAAATTCATACTACAGCTGCCACTCCCACATCAATAAAAAATATCTGTCCTTACCTTGCTTTACATTAAAGTTTCCTCTGCCCTCCAGTATAAATCATTAGCCTGAGCTGGTCCCTGTGCGTAGTGTGCGCCTCAGACTCCAACAGTTTTACTCCCCTTGTCAACCAACTGTTAAGTATCGCTCTCTCCGGTGCTTGCCCTCTTGTTTCCTCTGTTACGTAAACCCCCGTGGACTGGATTTAAAGGGCTCCCTTTTCCTAGTCACGCTTCTGCTGCTGAGGATAAGCCTGGAGTACTGGGCTTTAGAGTAAACAACTTGTGTTCCAGTTGGGGTACCCAGCCTTTATACTGCTCCTTAGTGTTTACGTGGGTGCGCTATTGGAGCTGAGATCAAATATCATAATGTCAAAATTATTCCAGCATTTGAAGTCTCCATGGGGCAACTGTCATCACCAGAAACCCAGCTATAATTACTGGGGCACAGAGAGAAAGGGAGAGTGTTTACATGGCTATTTCAGTTGCTGCAAGACTCGGCCAATAGGCTTCTCTGTTGCTACTCTGCTTTAGGATGCTTGGGCAGATTTTGTCTTGTGATCATGCTCAGCTGTAAATAATTTTTTCCAAGGGGTGCCAAATGGGTGTAGGTGACAAAGTGAGTAATAACGTGTCATAGTCAATAATATCTTTATTGAGGGTAGTTAATGATAGAGAAGTTGCCAAATGAATACCTGGCATGTTTGGCAAAGTAATTTTTGTATTTTTCAGTATTTAACTATCATTTGTGGTGGACTTCACATGATCTCACCTTTGAATATTTTACATGATCTGATATATTTTATATTTATATAATGAAAAATTATATGGTACTTTATGCTTCAAAATGTGCACTGGAGCAAAATATGTGAAATCTCATGCTATGTCCTGAAGTACCCTCAACCTATAACGGTGTTCCTGAGTCATCCTGCTGGAGTGGCATCTGAAGACAGTTGCTACTGTTCACCTGCCACACCATCAATTACTAATGCCGGCCTCTAATTAAGGGTCCTGCTGGAAAATTTTGTGGCCCCCTGGACAAGGTCTGACATTTGGCACTCGACATAATCATCACAGTTCCTTCCAGTTTGAAGTCCCAGGATCATCTCTATTATCCCCTTAATCTGCTGTGTTCCCCAATGAATGACAAGTTAGGGAGAGGAATAAAAAAATATATATCCTTACTTCACCTAGAGGCAACAAAAGCAGGATGGTACAGCAAGTGTCATTCTAAACAAAGAAGTTATAGGATAAGGATAATCACCTTTATTGGCCAAGTATGTTACACACACAAGGAATTCCGGTACAGAATGGAGGCAGCCATCTGCGGCGCCAACTCACACCGATGGCTCTAACCATTGGGGGCAACTTGGGTGTTCAGTGTCTTGCCCAAGGACACTTTAACATGTGGACTGCAGGCACCGTGATTTGAACCTCCAACCCTCCAGTTGGGAGACAGCTGCTCTACCCACTGAATCACAGTCACCCCCAATAGAATGGATATAGAAGTCGTATATCCATCTGTAAGCAGTTAAACTGTACAGTATGTAAACGTATTTCAATTTAAGAGCCCACTAAATAGCTTTTCATGGTTTTCTACTGCATCTCATGGTTCACATCAGTCACAGAAGCCAGTTTAATTCTACTTCCATGTTGGCTTATCAAATTAGTTTGAATTTTTTCTTGGGCAGTGGGGTGACATATTTTTGCCTTTATCCTTAATGAGGGAAACAAAGAAACCTGAAACAAATGTGAACAGCCTGACTCAAACCAGCCGACATTGCACACGCCCTGTGCATGTGTGTATATGGTGCATTATGCTGTAACCATTTGGCTAATGGGGCACCCTATGAAATGCCTTTTTTGACTTATTTAACCAAAAGTTAGATGAAACTATTGATACCACCCTCAAGCGATAGAGCCAGCTAACTACTGCTAACTATGAGAAAACAGCCTGGCTTTGTCAAAAGTTAAAACTAAATATGACTAACAGCACCTGTTTGTTTAATGTAAATGTGAAAATGAAAGCCAGGCTAGCTGTTTCCCTGTGTCCAGTGTTAATGCTAGCTCTGACTGACTCTAGCTTCCTTTGTAGAGTACAGATATGAAAACCGTATCAATTTTCTCATCCAATTCCCAACAGGAGAGCAAATACACGTGTTTATCAAAATGTCAAACTATTACTTCAAGAAAGGCACCTCAGAAACGGAATGTATGAAAGGTCCTAAAAGTGCTCTGGAAAATGGAACTTTAGGGGCCGTGGAAATTCCCAAGGTGAGGAATGATCTTATGTAATCAAAACAATCTACTACACGTTCAAACAGACATATTGGTATATCCCAAAACCACACAAATGTCCAAATACTGAAGACATATTATGCGACCATTTTCTTTTTAATTGCCTACTGTCATGTAACACTCATCTCAACTAAAACAGGACTTTGTGGTCCTCGGTCAAAAGGATGCAGACTGATAATAATGGTCATTTTTTTCATTTACTTGCTTTTTCCCACCCTGTTGCACCACAGACATAAGGTCTATGACTCATAGGTGAGACTTTTATACTGTAAAACTGGGGCAGTATCAACTCTAGCATCTGTTTCTATTTTGTAAAGTGACAATCTTTCTAAAAAAGCAGTTAATAACCCACCTTCTTGACAGACAGCTGCAGGCAGTAATGCATTATGGGTAATGTAGACTCCAGTGTTGAATCTAGCCACACCTCCTTGAATGTGCATGCAGTCTTGGCAAGTGCTGAGCATTTCCTGTGTTTTTGGTTACCTTGGCAACAAATGATGTAAGCAGTCAAAACAAACAAACAAAAAAAATCAACAGAGCAAATAAACAAATGAGGGACAATGAAAATTACAGGAGGTATACATCACAGGACAAAGAAAAGAGTAAAAAGAAAGACAAGTTTAAAGATGGTGGCATAAGAAAGGGATGAGAATAACACGAGGATGAGGATGAGCAAAATGATGGGCTGGAACATCTGTGCAGTGGAAGAGTGGAGTGACAAATTGTAACAGATGAGAAAGAGGAGGGATCAAGCAAGAAAAAGAGGGAAACAGAGTCAACATTAAACTGTTTCATGTACCACCTTAAAACTCAAACATATTTAGTCTTTCTCTCACCGACAGTGGCTCCTGTGTCTCTCTGTCCTCAAGCCTTGGCACTTCCAGTCTGTCTATGAAGGCCTGCAGTTCTTTTCGGAAGGCCTTCATTTGGGCATTAATGCGATACAACAGCTCGTGTTCCCTGATCCTGCTCCCATCATCCTCTCCACCCTCCTCTCCTCCTCTCCTAAACATTAGGTCACCATTTGATACATAGACTCTTGCCTCTGATATAAAGGCGGCCGTGTCAGCAATGAGCCGGTCAATGGTTCGAACAAGCCTCTCTGCTTCTACACGGATGTCAATCATTTGCTGCTGGTCACGCAAGCTGCACCGGCCACCAGGCAGGAAGTGAGCCAAAGTGGAAGAGGAGGCACCCTCGGGTCCAGTAGGGGTGTAGAGGCCCCTTGTGGGTGTCAGGCAACGGCCGCTGCCATTATTGATTCTGACCTCATCTGGGTCACTTTCGCCGCCTACAGGACCCTCACGTTTGCGGTGAGGTGGGAGGAGGCGGGAGGAGGTAGAGTCCTCATCACTCTCACGTCGACCACTCGTTGTACCGCCTGCGTCGCTT